TAACCATATTTCTTAAAGCCTATGTCTTTAACAACTCCCTCACATATGGTGATTGCATGCCATAAGACACTACTGCTTGCTTAATCTTTTAGATCTTTCAAATGTATAGGTTTCAATTTACATTCTGTATATCCTTTTGGGTATTGAGAATTTACTGGCTTTTCAGCAGTAGTAACAAAATCAATAGCTAATACTCTTGGAAAGTCATCTCTGACTCTGAGCTATTGGCAATGCTAAATCTTTACTACTGTCCTTTGCCTGTACCTCCTCTCCTTGCTTATCAGATCTGACAAGGTCCTTGATTGATTCAAATCTTTTTATCACTGTCTTTTGTAAAATCTAAACCTCTTGACCTCTGAATATTTCTAATGAGTTCCTCAAATCAATTAATTTCTAGTTCTCATTCTGCACATGTTATTTCAAGGTTTTAAATTTTTTCTCTTATATCTTCTTATCCATAGATATTATTTGGATGGCATGTAGACTGCCTTCCTGGTGGGATGTTCTATCTCCTGACTTATCATACCTTTTTAACAGATGTTGATGGTCAATTTCAAAAGTATGAATCTTTACAGATAACTTCTCATTACGAGTCAATAAAGACCTATTATTTCTAAAAGTCTCTCATTCTTGACTTGTTATGAAACCATTTCTTTATCGATATCATATGAAAAAATAATAGCCACCATGGCCACAAAAATATATGTACCAGGTATGTCATACAGCTTAGTTCTTGCATCAATCCATTCATAGCAGAAACAAAAAAACATTATTATATTCCTGGGTAGTGATATTGTCTACAATTATCTTGGGATTGGTTTACAATCTTCAAATTTATTTATTTATTTATTTACCAATCAATCTGATACTTAGGTATCAAGTTAACTTACCTCCCTTATAATTTTGAGAAAATTGTTGTAGTTGTAATACTGTGGATTTTTCAGCAGGTGTCAGAGTTGTGGCAGTAAGGCAGGTCCTATATCAGGGCCTGAATCACCTGAGACTCAGCAAAAAATTTTAAAAGTAGCGCACCTTCACAGGGAGAAATTTGAGCTTCACAGGCAGAAGCTCAAAGGACTCAGAGCTTGCAGACAATTGCGAGCTGTGAAGTTGCTGGTGGATTTTGGGTCAGTGGTTCTCATGGTTCCAATCTGGGAATGCAAGCCTGTGTTCTAGGTGCAGGCATAGAGCTCAAGCTGATCAGAGCAGGCCAGACAGCAGCTGGACCTGAGAAGCAGACCCTAGCTTGGGTAGCAGCAGTGAGCCACATGGGTCAGAGAAGCCACAGAGGAGTTACCGCAGGAATCTGCAGGCATCAGTTACTCAGCCACTTAGCTGGCAGGACTGAGCCACACAGGGGTAGGAGGGCTAGAAATTACCAAGTCCCTACTGAGGATCAGCCAACCCAAACCTTGCTCAGCTTTCAGGCAGTTAAAGTACATGAGACCACGCCCAGAGTGGGCCAGTATCCTAAAGGCTATTGTCTGGGGGAGTTCCCGCAACACAGGGACTGCTGGGACCAACAAGTCTGAGAGCTGGGATTCTGACACACAAGGCAGCAGTCACTATGCAGTTCAGAGGTTGGGGACAGAGCAGCTTGTTAGCTAGAGGAATCTAATCATTCATAAAAGAAATATCTTTGAGTGTAACTAATTCATGGGAAAACCCAGAGCATTTTAGTTGCTGAAACAAAATACCAAAGCGGGTGGAGGAAAAGCCATGCACAGTTCTACAATAAAGTGAAATGTGTCCTTGCAGATCTGAGAACTCACAATGGAACAATGTGTATTTTAGCCAACCTGAGCTTCGGGTGACCTGTGGTTAACGCTAAGGGGACTCTGTATAAAGAGAAATTTGCGCAAGGTGAGTTTCAGATCTTCTGTGCTCTTTATTTGGACAATGGCACTGTGTAGGGAGTGGGCATCTGTTTTGGAGGTGTCTCGTCCCAGAACCAGTTCTTAGGATTCAGGATATTGGCAAAGTCACACCCCTTACTGAAGCAGGGTTTGGGGCCAAGTTACTGTTGAGGAGAGGACACGAGAGGCCAAGTCCACAGGAAGCTCTTGACATTGCTCTCCTAGTTGGGACACACAGGGTGCAATCTACCACCCCAGCAATGAAAGTGTGAAAGACTTTCTTCCAAGGACCTGCCCAAGCCCAGGGCCAGGGTTATGAGTTATGCAGGTACCTAACTGCATAGCGCACCCCAAACGCAGATACTCACAAGTACAGCAGGTCTCAAATGTGACGTGAACTGTTTGTAAATGGTTGGGGCATGGAGATTCATTCTGTGATTCTGCGAGTGACAGAAGCGCTCTACAAAGCCTCATTTGCAGACTCCACCCAAAGTTCCACTGTGCCAGGCAGCATTTCCCAGGAGAGTCGTAGGCTGCTGTGTTCATTCTTTTCTGCACCAAACCCAAGAGGAGCAGGAATGGGGACATTTTTCATATTTTTCTTTTTTTTTCTCCTTCTTGTAGGACTGAGATTAAACTCAGGGCCTTGTGCATGTGAGACAAATGCTCTGTCACAGAGTTGGACCCAAATCAGTTTTCTGTTTAAATATCAAACATCTGTAGCTTATCAGGCTACCTCCCTTGACTATGGTGCAAATGGCCAATAAGAAACCTGTTTAGCATCTCAGACAAGAGTAAGCCCTAAACACCAGGATGGGAAGTATATGTGTCTGAGAAAGTCAGCATCAACCTTTGTGGGTCCATTAGCTGTAACCTCTGTCAAAGTTTAAGCTAAGAAAACACAGAGGATTTGGATTGGAATTTGGGTACACTCTAACCTAGCTCTCTTGGTGTATTAGTGATGGAGAAGGGTCATCTTTCTATCTGTTGCTTTCATTGGTTAATTAATAAAGAAAACTGCCTAGGCCCATTTGATAGGCGAACCCTTAGGTGGGTGGAGTAAACAGAACAGAATGCTGGGAGAAAAAAGCGGAGTCAGTCAGTCCCCATGATTCTTTCACTCCAGACAGACGCAGGTTAAGATCTTTCCTGGTAAGCCAGCTCGTGGTGCTACATAGCATATTAGAAATGGGTTAATCAAAGATGTGAGAATTAGCCAATAAGAGGCTAAAACTAATGGGCCAGGCAGTGTTTAAAAGAATACAATTTCCGTGTAATTATTTCAGGGCATAAGCTAGTCATGCGGGTGGCTGGGTGCAGGGGATGCAGCCCCGCCGCTCGTATCGCAACATATTAGTCCAGTGTTCTTTGCTATACTGAAATATTCAGTCAGGCTGCTCTATTTAACTGACAGATTTAGAGGCTAAAAGGCCAAGGTCAGGCAGCCTCATATATGGGCCTTGGAGAGACTGTTGGCAGGTGGCATTATGGCAGGTGTATGACATGGAGGAGGAAGAGATCACACCGTAAGACAGCAAGCCAGACAGTGATTGGGTCCCATGAGAACTATCTGAATCCCCCCCAAAGGCAGCACCCTCCATGATCAAGAGATCACACCGTAAGACAGCAAGCCAGACAGTGATTGGGGTCCCATGAGAACTATCTGAATCCCTCCCAAAGGCAGCACCCTCCATGATCTAGTGCCACCTCACATACCACATTGTCAAGGACCAGTTTGTCAATAACGACCCCTGGGGGGAACTTTCAAACCATAGCTCAACCACAAGTCAGTTTCTCTGTCATCTGCCTCAGGCTCCCTAATACGAAGCCTCCTCTATTTTGAAATGAGAATAAAACTTCTCTCACCACATTGCTATGATAAAAAGATAATAGACATAAAATAGTGTGGAAATTGTAGTTGTTAGAGTACAGTGCCACTGGTCCTCTATCATGTTTGTTCTTCCTTTCCATAGTACAGTTCTTTATGATTTATTTTTATTTTCTGACTATGTGTGTTTGGCAGCATATGTGTCTGTGCATTGAGTGTGTCTGATGTCCATGGAAATGAGAAGTGGACATTAGATCTGGACTAGTGGATGTGAGCTCCCATGTGGATTCTGGGAACTGAACCTGGGTCTTCTACAAGAGCAGCAGTGCCCTTCACCACTGAACCATTTCCCTAGCACCATGGTAGTTCTTTTCTTAGCAAGATGTAAGGGTTTTCCCTGTGATTCAACTGCCTACATGCAATTTAGCTGTTCCATGTTGACTATATTTCCTAAATGACTTTTAACATCAACTAGTCATGATTCTAAAATATGACGAATAACAAACTGTCGTGTCCTGGAGTATAATGTTATAGAAGTAGCTGTAGTGACAGCTTCCTCATGGCTGGATTCACGAGAGTCCAGCAGGGAAATTTCTGCCCTCACTCACCTTTCTGAAATGCAAGTTGGACCTACACTGGGTCACAGTAAAAGAAAGAGTTAAGAATCCTGGTCACCTGGTCTACAAGAGCTAGTTCCAGGACAGGAACCAAAAGCTAAGGAGAAACCCTGTCTCGAAAAAATCAAAAAAAAAAAAAAAAGAATCCTGGTCACGTATTAGAGCCATTCCTTTTGACAATCTTTTAACATTACAGTAGAATGCTTTTAAAGGTAATGTCAAAGCTGGAGAGAGCACTTTGTGGTTAAGCACACTGACTGTTCTTCCAGAGGACATCAGGTTCAATTCCCAGCAACTACACTTGGCTCACAACCATCTATTACTATAGTTCCAGAAGATTCAATGCCATTTTCTGACTTCTGTGGGCAATAAGAAAAGATGGTGTACCCAGACACGCTGACAGACAAAACAACAATACACATAAAATAGACGAATTCTTTTTAGGAAAAGCATAAAGGAGAACATCAGTGGTAGTCATTCTCTGTCCTTGCCTATCAGGATGGGTGTGTGGCCTCTGATGACTGAGAAGGAAATGCACATCCTCCTGAGCCTAACCCTCAGCCCCAGATCCAGGATATTATGGGCCAAGAGCATGTATTTTCATAGCTGACTCTTCAGTTGGTCTTGGTCTTACAGGCACCCATATGAGAAGTATACAGACCGACAATGAAGAGTGGCTGACTATGAGAGAATTTGAAATTAAAGGGGGATATGAAAAATACGAAAAATGGAAAAGAAGTATTCATTGCAATGGACGCCGTCTTCAAGATCGGATAAAGGCATGCTGGTGGTAGATAGCTCCGTGTTTCCTGGGTAAGATGGCGAATTAAATGGATACCTGCATTGCAAGATTGCCCCACAGTTCCTCTCCCAGGTCGTTGTGTCACACTTGTTCTTCAACAGCTGAGTATCATGGGTCAGACCTGTAATCCCAGCACTTGGGGATGCTGAGACAGGAGAGTGCTCAGAGATCAAGGATGGCTTATACTCTGTCGTGAGTTCCAGGAGAGGTTACAGAGTGAGGCCTGCCTCAACTCCACCTACACAAAAATAAAAGTAAAAGAAGAGAAATAATTTTGAAATAAGTTCTTAGTTCTTCACTTTTATCAACCTTGTAAACTGGGGAAACCAGGAGGTTTCCTTGGTAGCTGAATCTATTTCTTATGATGTAGGGTACACAGATCTTTCTGGAATGTGTCTCAGATGGCCTATCCCTGTGTCATCCTCACAATAAAGGACAAAAGTTTTCTCATTGAGTATTGGCTGAGCTGCATCTAAAGCATGGGGAGTACAGGTATGAGCCCCTGGCCAGGGCAAGGCTGCACCTTCATACCCTACCTGCAGTTACTACTGTGGAGGAGAGGAGTCTGTAGGAAATGATGCTGCAGCTAAGGGGTGGGATGGCTATTTCTGGCCTTAGGACTAAAAACCATGTCATGGAACAGTCTTCCCTGAGCTGGGTCATGGAGGACAGTTCTGACAATGTGTACAATGCAGCTATCTACACAGGGAAAGAAGAGTATGAGAAACCAGCCCTCGGTGTGTCTGGAAGCTGTGGGTGATCAAGTGGCTTCCCTTGTTTGAGCTCATGTGAAAATCACCAGGACAGGAAAGGGGATCTAAATGTTTCCTTGACTCATTGTGGGGCACATGGGGAGTAGTTTCAATGAAGACAGCTTGTATTTAACAAGGGTACATACAAACAAAAATTTCGAGAAGGTGGTTAGAAATACCTCACTCACAAGCTAAAAGCAAAGACTCTCCCATCATTAACTCTCTGTCTTTCAGGAAGGACATCTACCAAGCAGACCCACCTAGGATAAGGGGACAGGTAATTATTCTGTTCTGATGTCTCAGACTATTGTCTATAAATTGTTTGTTTTCCATCTCTGTGCCTTTGTAAGTTTGAAAATTGACAAATTTGTGTTTGATCAAATTTGATTTATTCTGTGGTGCTTATATAGTTGTGATTTCCCAAGCATAAGAGGCCAGGGCTGCTTTGAGCATCAAAATACTTGAGATACAGGTGGGAACAAACATTGGGAGCCATCAAATAAATGATCTCTTCTGCTTTCAGAGGGAAAACCCAACAAGCCCAGAGTGAACAAAGAAATACATAACTGCCCTGTGACCTTCTGCCATGATGTCTGAGGCCCTCATCTGAAAATTGTTAGTTGTTCATCTCTGGCATGTTACTTTTAATATTCAGTGATAATAAAAATGGATTTTATCATATGGCAACAACCCACGTAATGGAACCTGTCTAAGAAGAAACATATGGTATCGTGCATGGAGATAAATTCTGCTAACATCTGGGACAAGTGAATTATGACAGAGAAATCCTTGATTGAAGCTACCAGTCATACCAAAAGAGCTTCTAACCTATTGTCTCACCCCAGAATAACTGAAGCTGCCTGTCACATAGGAGCTTTTAATTCACCATTTTACCCAATAAACATGGAAGCCATCTACCACCAGAATACCTTTATCAGATCTTGAAGATGGCATCTATTGCAATGAATACTTCTTTTCTATTTCCCTGATTTTTCATATCCCCCTTTAATTTCAAATTCTCTCACAGTTAGCCACTCTTCATTGTCGGACTTTATACTTTTCATATGGGTGTCAGTAAGAGCCCTGGCCCTGGCCCCGGGCCCTGGGTCCTGGGTCCTGGGCCCTGGGCCCTGGGCCCTGGGTCCTGGGTCCTGGGTCCTGGGTCCTGGGTCCTGGATCCTGGGCGGGCTCTTCTCTGATGGACGTGGCTGGCGCTCGCGCACTCGCTCCGGCGGTGGCGCCCCCGGTGGTACCCGAGATCCACCAGTTGGGTCTGCCAAGCTCCTCCGTTCTTTCTTCCGCTCCTCTGGGGAAGCGCCTCGGCTCTGCCCCGCCGGCCCCATTCCGTTCTCCATAGCACCCCCCCATCCAAAGCCACGGGTGGGGGGGGTGAGAGGAAGGAGGAACCTCGCCCGGGTGGAGCGCCTTTCTCTCGCTCCATCTCTCTTCCCGGGGGAGGACGGACGAGGGTCTGGCCGGGCCCCAGGACCCCTCTCTCCGCAGACCTCCGCTCATGCGCCTTGGCGCCGCAGGGCGGCGCCTGTCGGGGAAGGCAGAGGAGGGGTCCTGGGTCCTGGGCTGCCTGCTAGCTTATGCCGGAAATAACAACACACAAACTGTATTCATTTAAACACTGCTTGGCCCATTAGCTCTAGCCCTTACTGGCTAATTCTGATATCCCGATCAACCCATCTCTAATAAATTGTGTAGCTCCGGTCTTACCGGGAAAGATTCAGCATGTCTGACCTGGCGGCTTGCTTCATCCTGTGTGTCTGCCCAGCTGAGGGGAGCATGGCGTCTCTGAGCTCACCTCCTCTTCATCCCAGCATTCTGTTCTGTTTACCCCACCCACCTATGTTCTAACCTATGAGGGCCAGCCAAGCAGTTTCTTTATTGCTTAACCAATGAAATCAACAAATTGACATATGACACTCCCACATCACTTCCCCTTTTTCTGTTTAAACAAAAAAAGGAAGGCTTTAACTTTAACATAGCAAAATTACATATAACAAAACAGTTATCAAGCAAGAATTACAGTTACAATATTTATATATATTTTATCTTTTATCATAACAATGGAAAACTATAACTATAACTATCTATCTATTCTTCAACTCCATCAAAGACTCCAGAAGAATACAATATTACCTAAGCAAACAAGAAATAAGCAACTTCCAAACTCTAGAAATGACAGAGACATCTCGCTGCCTGTACAGTCACCCAAAGTTTCTCTGTACCGTTGGGGCATCCATCTTCAGCCTACAGGCCCATAGTTTCCAGCAGACATTTCCATGAAGCAGGAAATTTCAAAGGCAGTCACTATCTGCTTGTCCTTGTAGTAATACGCTCGTATTACTACAAAATGGCGCCCGACGTGGTAGCAGCAATTTCTCGGGTCTACTCTGCTTGCTAGAGGCAAGCAAGCACCTCATCTAAGAGAGGCTTCCTGACTCAGCTTCAGGTGCAAAACTCTGCAGCTCTTAAGAGGTCCTGCCACGAAACACTTAAACGGTGTTGACGAAAAGCTGAACGCATGCTTTTCGGTTTTTAGCCATAGCAGGAAAAAAGCTGTGCCTTTTAAAAATGCTGGCTTTCTGGGCTGTCCTGCCAGGGCAAACTCTGACTGTTTGAGGCAGGAGGGCCAGCTACAGAGAGAGGACTTGAGTGTTGTCTGTTGTAGCTCGCTGGCTGGCAGGGACCTTGAAACGCCATAGAGTTGTGGCTATAAACATGGCTGCAGCCAGTACCTCAGCCATGAGGCTGGAAAGCTAAGGAATGGGATCCAGCCGCCAAAGCCAGGGCTTTAGTCCTACTGATATTGCTTGGTAAATTAAAGACTCATGTGGTCAGAAAAACAGAGAGAGATACAGTAAAGAGAGCATCAAAGACAAAGAAATTTTTTAAATGATTTACAGTGTGTTAAAAATATATGCAAGCTAAAAGTTAAAAGCTCTTAAAAGTATAAAAAGGAAGAAAGAGGGTAGTTGTGTGTGGTAGTACACACCTTTAATCCCAACACTTGGGAGGCAGAGGGAGATTGACCTCTGTGACTTCAAGGTGTGGTAGCATACGCCTTTAATCCCAGTGCCTAGAAGGCAGAGACAAACAGATCTCTGTGAGTTCAGGTGTAGTAGCAGACACCTTTAATCCCAATGCCTGGGAGGCAGAGACAGGCTGATCTCTGAGAGTTCAAGGACAGCCTGGTCTACAGAGTTATTCCAGGTCAAAGATACAGAAAACCTGTCTCAAAAGGCAAAAAATAAAAAGTAAAAATAAACAAAATAGAGGTTAAAATAAAGCGCACAAAGATGGAAAATACACAGAGAATTTTGATACTGTATGCTATTATGCTCTGTTTGAATCGTTTGAATGCTGAGGAAGGACCAACAGCTGCTAAAAGATATTTGTTTATAAATGCTGCTGAACTATTCCAACATAGATATTTTGAAAATGCCTTGACTTTGAAATTTGGATCTAAGGACATGATGCTTTGGAAAGGAGTTTCTTATTTTGTTTTCACAGAGGATGAGACCCTGTTCATTTCTTCTATTTTGATATGGTATGATGGACCACGCCCTCCTGAGGGGTTGCTGTGAACATCTTCAGAAAATTGCTTCGCTCAACTGCCAACTGAGATAAACCTGGCACACAGGTTACACCCTAAATGATCTGATTAAGAGCGCCCCCATTCAGCAGGAAGCAGTTTGGAGAGAAATAACTACGTCCATATTCCAAAATATTGCTTATAAATGTTCTTTTACATTTAAAGGAGGATATGATATAGACATGAATAATTTGCATTAGTATAGATTTTGCTTTATTGATAGAGATTTAAGGTCAATTTTGTTATATGTATATGTATTTCTGATATTGATTAAGGTATTGTGATTGTGTAGTACATTTAAAAATGTAATGTATATAGGTTGTTACTATATAATCATAATAGTCAAGTTTGTAGTCATTTTAGTTAGATTTTCTAGATGTACATAGATAAATTTTAGATAGACATTCTTCATATCTTTCAAAGATTACAGAATAGGACATTTAATGTTTTAATAACTTAGGACTTTTCATGACAATGAGACACTCTGCTCCTGGCAGCACCAATCTACTTCAAGAAGAAGATGGGCATCGAAGAGGATCCTTATGGAGTTTGATAGCCATGTGGGCAAGAAACTGCTCTTGCCTGGACTATTGCATAAACTGGACACAGAGAACCCGCAGAGAGAGGACTACTGAACTTGCCTAAAGGTGAGTTGATCTTTCGGGGTTCCTGATTCATGAAAGAGTCTGCAAGACATTCTTCAGGACAAGCAGATAGTGACTGCCTTTGAAATTTCCTGCTTCATGGAAATGTCTGCTGGAAACTATGGGCCTGTAGGCCGAAGATGGATGTCCCAATGGTACAGAGAAACTTTGGGTGACTGTACAGGCAGCGAGATGTCTCTGTCATTTCTAAATGTTTTAGTTTTAAAAGTTGCTTACTTTTTGTTTGCTTAGGTAATATTGTATTTTTCTGGAGTCTTTGATGGAGTTGAAGAATAGATAGATAGTTATAGTTATAGTTTTCCATTGTTATGATAAAAGATAAAATATATATAAATATTGTAACTGTAATTCTTGCTTGATAACTGTTTTGTTATATGTAATTTTGCTATGTTAAAGTTAAAGCCTTCCTTTTTTTGTTTAAACAGAAAAAGGGGAAGTGATGTGGGAGTGTCATATGTCAATTTGTTGATTTCATTGGTTAAGCAATAAAGAAACTGCTTGGCTGGCCCTCATAGGTTAGAACATAGGTGGGTGGAGTAAACAGAACAGAATGCTGGGAGGAAGAGGAAGTGAGCTCAGATTTGACAGCTCTGCTCTCTGGAGCAGAGACACCATGCTCCTCTGTCCCAGAGAGACGCCATGCTCCCCTCTCCCGGAGAGACGCGATAGCTCTGCTCTCTGAGGGAGACGCATGAAGCTCAGACCCAGGATGGACGTAGGCTAGAATCTTCCCGGTAAGCACACCTAGCAATGCTACACAGATGATTAGAAATGGGCTAAATTAATATGTGAGAATTAGCCTAGAAGAGGCTAGATAGAAATGGGCCAAGCAGTGTTTAAATGAATACAGTTTGTGTGTTATTATTTCGGGGCATAAGCTAAGCAGGTGGCCGGGGTGCTGGGGATGCAGCCCCGCCACCCTTATTACTACAAAATGGCCTTATTACTACAAGCTTGACTATTACTAATGATTATCCATTAACAACCTATATACATTACATTTTTAAGTGAACTACACAATCACAATACCTTAATAAAGATCAGAAATGCATATACATATAACAAAATTGACCTTAAATCTCTATCAATAAAGCACACATTTTGTAAGTATTAATATATATATATATATATATATATATATGTCTTATTAAACATTTCTTTATAAATATGTAGAGCTGGTTTTGAAGTTGGACTCTGGTTCAGTCCCTCTCCAATTCCAAGCCTGTTAGTAAGAGAAAAACCCAGAGTTTCTGGACTTTCTGTCTCATGTCAAGAGCCTGGGAATTGGAACCCTATCTCGAGTAGGGCAGAGCACGAGATGGGTTGAATGTATAGGGCCAG